TTTTGTCATTTAGACGTTAATGCATTCGTTTGATTAAGAAAGGAAAAAATTAATTGTATAAAAAACACATATTAAGGTATAAATGAATTAAAATAGAATTGATAACAAAAATATATGAACATAAAGTGAAATGCCGCCAAATATTTTAATATGAACAAATTAAAATAAATTTGAAATAGAAAAATGCACACTACATTAAGTAATGGTAATAATCTTTTTCTTTATAATAAGATACAATTAGCTGTAAATAATCTTTTTCGTTACATTAGCAAAATAACAAAATGTCAAAGAATATAACAATTTGAAAAAATCCATGCAATTTGACGATTTTTAACAAATTCAACTTAAATTGTCAAATATAACTTTATATATTGAAATAAAAATAAATATAAATATAAATTCAAATAATAATAATAATGATAATAACGTTGTAATCCGATTAAAATTTATGTTAATTTGTCCAGTATAAGTTGAAATGATCATGTACATGATATTCCAATTGAATTATATCTCTCTAAAATATAGAGTTTGAAAAATCTATTAAAAATATTTTAACCTTATAACATAGGCAGGGATTCTACTCTTCTAGTCAACCTTACAAAGCAATGTCAAGTTCACCCATAGTGCTACATGTCAGCAAGGGGAGTAGCTACAATAACTTTGGACTTTTGCTTATCTTTATAGCAAGATATTTGAATGGTTGTTGGAATAGTGGTGTAACCCGAAAGTTCCACTCGAGAATGACATTCACATTAAGAAAAGGTAAATGGCAAATCAACAGATCGGCTGGTCCCATTTAGAGACAAACTTTTGAAATAATTTTATAATACTTTTTACTATATGATTTATGTAACATCCAATTGTGTGAGGCATTTCAAGTAATTTTAGCATAAGAGCTCGCAAAACTCAACAGAGTTGACTTAACTAAACGGATTAAGGGGCTGGCAACAGGAGACCTAGATCTGAAATGTCGCATTAACTCTCCAGTTAATTTATTCAACTTGGTTGGTATTGGATGCCTAGTGGCTACTTCCTTGGAAATGCATCTTCCTACTTCGCATTTTTCTTTTTCTTTCTTTCCATGATGTTTATTTGTTATTTATACTCCATAGAATCTTCTCCATACTAAAGCAATTAAGACAAGAGAGGGAGGAGGAAGAAGGGGATGATGGTGGTATTATTCGATGGTGTAAATTTTTTAATTTTTTTTTGTATATTTGGAGTTGATTTTGATAAATTGCACGGACGTGATATTTTTGAAATTATTTTTGTTTGTATATTACTGTAACATTATATTAGAAAAACTTGTTCTTCAAAAAATAGGGAATCCAAACAGTGCAGTATTAAGATGAGGCTGTGATACTAGTTTTCGTCAATGGCTTGTGATGCTGATGGCCTTTAGTTAATCAAAAAATCGATGAGGAAATGAAAAAAGGATCGTGACTTCTTTATCTCGTCAAGCAACTTATTGGTTACTTCAGTAATTAAGAAACTAACTGAGAATGAATTATGCGAACCTTGTTGGCTGGCAAACATAAACCAAGCTTAAAAGTTTCCATCTACTTATTTTGTGATTTTATTGGACTCTCAATTTGTTAGCAGTTCTCGTATATAGTAACATGTAATTTAGTGGCTTATTACTTATGTAATTCTTTCTTATTCTACGAATCTGGTTGTAGGTTGTGAATAAGATATTAGTTAGAGTATTTTCTTAGTAGAGCCAAGAGACTCAGTAAGATATTATCGCAGTATAATTCTTCCATTGTTTGAAATATCCTATACATATATATATAAAGCAGTTTGCATCTGACTCTTGGGAATTTTTCATCTGTCTTGTGGAGAGGTATTTTAGGGAGTGAAAAATTACATGGCAGATTTTGTGCAAAGAGTACAAGCTGGTTGATTAATAATAGTGCATGTGCTCTCTCTATATTGCCCTTTTGGCTTTGTTTGTGACAGACGGTTGGGAAATGAGCATTATTCTCTATAGAGGTATTTTCCTTAGAGGTAAGTTGGGAGAAAATGGTGTAGCCTAACATACAACATGGTAGTACTTTTGCCAATGTTGTTTGCCTATAATGCCTTCTTAAGTGGGCACATAGCTTTTAAATAATGAACTTAATGGCTTAAATTTGACATAAGAGTAATAAAGCTTTATTGGAGAGAGCTTTAATGGAGGGTATTTGGAAAATCACTTGTGTAACTGATGAATAGTATAACCGCAACAAGTGAAGCATCATTTGTAGTCAATACAAATATTATTGCAATATACTTTTGAGTTACCATAATCGATGAATACTGTAATCGGAGCAAGTGAAGCATCATTTGCAGTCAATACAAGTGTTATTGCAACACTTTTGGGCTATTTCAATACAACTAATGGAAATTCTATACATATTAAAGTATCTTGGCTCAAACATTTGTGGTCTGTTTGCCTCTTTCGATTAGAAAGGTATAGTCACTTCATGCTGCAATTTCACCGTTTTTATGTGTAGGAACTAGATTAGATACGTGTTAATATGCATGGAGAATTTTTTAATAATTGCTAACTATATTTGTGAATTGTCAATTTTACTTTTGTAGTTGGCTGAGCAGTGAGGAAAAGTGGTCTGCATGTAGGGATTTTGGTGAAGGCAAGCTCTGAATCTTCACTCCACAAATGGCGCATGCCAATTGTATATTGTTAACTCTATGTATAGGATTTTTGGCCCAATGATGTGACTGTTTGTGTAGATATCTTTGCTTATTGTGCTTTATTAATTTAATGCTTTGTTTAGCCTACTTGGCAAAGATGTTGCTTTATTGATAGGGAGAAATGCCTCAAGAGAGTCCATCGAAAAATCCAATATATAAATTAGTAATCCAATTCTGATCCCAAAAGCTTAAACCATTAGGTTTTGACCCTTACTTACATATTAACCACTCTTTCTCCATCTTTCGAACCAATATGAGACGTAATCTTTTTACTCATGAATCTAACAAATCTCCCCCTTCATGAGTAATCCCCACATTAAACCCAATTTTGCAAGTCCTTCTTCGAGCCCACTTTAATATTCAATGCAAACCCACCTTATCACCTAAAGTCACATTTTCTCCCAAATATGGACCCACTCTTCTTCAACATACAATCTGGATTTTTGGACCTCTGCCAACCCTTGGCTCCATCTCACACCAACCAGACTCCCTGCCAGACCCATGGCTCACTTGGTCCAACACTAACCAAACTCTTCGTACTTCGGTCCACCACCAATAAGACAATTTTCACCTGTCCAACTCCGAGAAGAATCCACTTGTCCATGAATAGCCCAGTCTTGCAATGTGAAGCTCTGATACCAATTTGATAGGGAGAAATACCTCATGAGAGTCCACCGAAGAGTCCAATATGTAGGTCAGGAACTCAATTATGACCCAAAAGCTTAAGCCATTAGGTCTTGGACCCTTACTTACATATTAATCACTCTTTTTCCATCTTTCGGACGAATGCGGGATGTAATCTTTTTACTCATGAACCTAACAGTTATGATAGCAGATGCAAATTTGACCTTATTTGCACTGATATTTAGGATGGTTGGATGTAATGATAAATTTATTGCTAAAAAACAACTTCGCAATGAAAGATCAAGGCAGAGATATGATTCTTTATTCATTAAGCAAAAAGAAGAATTTTGTGAAAAATAACTGCAAGATTATAAGAGACGTAAAGTAGTTCGGAAAATTGTTGGACCTCCATTTCAACCCATGATGGAGAAATTTGCTGGTGTCCTTATTGTGAGTTTTGGAAATTTGCTGGTTTTTTTGCTGCAACTACACTTATTGCAATTTTTCTCATTGTAATAAGCTCATTGCAATCATACTTCTGCTTTCATGGCTAAAAATTATAATTTTCTACAATTCCTTTCACACAATCATACTTTGTGATGCACTTCAACTGATACAATTACACTTATAGCCATCAACATCTACAAGATAATACACAAAAACCAACCCACAAGTCAAAAACACCTGTGCTATGTGCAGGCAAACCCCCTAGTCATTACTAGTGTGAGTTGTTGATTTGTTTATTCTCTCCCACACATATATTTTTTTTTCAGTGATTATTTTACTCTTTCAATCCTATAACACTGCACATTGATATTATTAGAATCATAAAATTGTGTTCTACAAATTTAATGGAGTGAGATGATTTCGTTGGAATGGAGAAAAAAAATGAACAAAATTAATTTAAAGAGAAAGAAAAAGAAAATACTGAATATGCTTCTTCGGTCCAATGGGGAAATTGTCAATGTTTTCAGTGCTTGCCTGCTTGGTAGTTTCAAAAAACAAAATTCCAAATAGTCGTTAGAGATGTGTTTAGCATTTTCTATTTGGTTCTTTTCAAAATTTTCACTATTTAACTTTCTTGGCTTAATTTTGGAGCCCGTTTACCATTCAAAAACAAACAAACAAACAAACAAATAAATGAAAGAGGTAGCGGATCTACCCATATGTATAGTATCTTTTATTTCTTGGAATTGAAAACTTAAAGTAACTTTTATACTCAATCAAATCAGTTGATGAGACTGTAGAGAAGTTGTTGGCAAGATAAACCAAGTCTAGAAATTTCTTTTTTATTATTTATTAATTTTATTGGAGTCAAATTTTTAGTAGTTGTGTGATTTAGGAATTTGTATTTTATTTGATAATTTCGTATGCAAGTCATTTTTTTCCAACAAATCTGTAAGATTATAAATGGGACACTGTTTAGCGTGTTTTCTTAAGATAAGAGTGATAAGGTGTTAATTGTCAGTAATTTTATTATTAATTTCCCCTTTTGTTTTTATCAAATATTGTTTTAAATTGTTAATATATACTTATATTTGGTATTTGGACCTATCTGTAGGAAATGGAACTAAAAAGGGTTGAAAAGGGGGACCTGTTGGAGAAAATTGCTCCACACGTGGGAGACTCCAAAAGAGCTTCACAAAACAGACGGATGGCATTTCCTTTTTGCTGATTAGGAGTTGAAGTCTTTGATGGGCAACAGGAAACGAAAAGTAGAGAAAAATTCGGCAGAGCTTACTTTTGGGACTTGGACTCTCAATTCGTAAGGGACCACGGAGAAAAGCATTAGTCTTTGTTTAGAAGAAACGTACAGAGGCTTGTGAAATTGTTTTTTAGCAATAGTTTAGTTTTTCTTTCTTTTTCCTTGTCATGCGCACGCCTACTGTTCGACAAAGTTTCCCAACAGGAGAATCATCTTTTGCTTGATTAATTAATTAAAGACGGTTTGAAGTTCATGAATTCAATCACTTTGCGTGGAGATTTATTTATGCGGCGTGGCTAAACTTTTTGTCTAGTCAAGGATCAACGCGACGACGCAGTCCCGAATACCTGTGAGATCGAATTAATTATCATGCGTTCCTTAATTTATTAATATTTGCACGTTATATGTTTAATTTCTATGGGATTATTTAGTTAATTGAATGTTAAGGGCCCGATGTTCAATATGATATATTAATCTCCTGCCAAATTAGTCAATTAAATCTGTAATTGTTTAAATGGATCAATATTAGTGGCAACTAGCGTTTTTATAAACTAGGAAAATGTGCAATCTGATTTAAATAACCCTCGTAGCATGTTATTGATTAGAGTTAGACTTTTCTAGTTTTTAATGCAATTAGGGAATTAATTCCTACGGTCGTACTTAGGAGTGTTTCCTAATTAGGGGTGATCAACGGTCGTACCTTGATTATCAATAAATTAAGGAAAAGCTGGTCGTCAGAGTGTGTCGGCAACTATAACTAACCTGTTAATAAAATTAAGTGAATCTTCTTTGCATCAATGATCGGATGAATGGACTGTGTCTGAGTAGTTGTATCCTTGGTTAGAATTTATCTATTCTGAATTAATTTCTGTCTACATTCATGCTAGTTAATTATTCATTTTTAGTGTAATTGCTTAATTATTTTTAGCTTTACTCCGATAAAACCCCCAATCGTCAATTGGAACTTCAAATAGACAAATATTCCCAATCCCTGAGGAGACGACCCTACTTGCTACTGTCTACTTGTTAGTATCGTTGTCAGCTAATTAATTCTGGTATATCGAATTAAACAAATTTTTCGGAAACAGGGTGAATCAAATAACCTATTACATATCTAGAGTTCCTGCTCTAGTACCTAGAGTTGATTGTTGACTGCTTTAGTGGTAGTTAGATTTTTATTATTATTATTGCACAGGTTTGGCACCTGTCAATTTTTGGCACCGTTGCAGGGGATTGGCGTTAATTATTTATTTCTTTTTAAGTTCATTTTTTGTTTTAATTTTCTGGTATTTTTTCTAGTTTATGCCTCATTCTTCTCATACATGCAAATTGATTTTCGACCCTGAAGTAGAGAAGACTGCACGCCGAACTAGGAAAGAAACTAGACAGCTCAGAGAGGAGCAATCCAGTATTGCACCTCAAGGAGTGGATCCAGAGGTGAAGTCGATAAATTTGCGGGGTGACCACTCGAGTGATTCGGATCAAGAGGAAGTCACCATGGCAAATGCACGAACATTGAGGGAGTTGGCTACCCCTGATTTGACCCAACAACCTTTGTGCATTACTTTTCCAAGTTTGAATGATAACACTTTCTTTGAACTAAAATCTGGTCTAATTCACTTCTTGCCATCTTTCTATGGTCTATCAGGTAAGGAGCCCTACAAGCACTTGTAAGAGCTTGATGTCGTTTGCAATAGTATGAACCCCACGGAAATCACAGAAGAGCAGATAAAAATGAAGGTCTTCCCCTTCTCTTTGAAGGACTCCGTGAAAGACTGGCTGTACTACCTACCACCAGGTAGTATCACCATGTGGGATCAGCTGAAGAAAAAATTCTTGGACAAATATTTTCCTACGTCTGATTGATCTCACATGCTCAAACAAATATCTTATGATTGTGTCTGATCAATCCTAATCGAGTTCAATCTAGCCTAATCGAGCTCGTCCACCCAAAATAAATATCCTTTCAGAAAATGTACAGAATAAGAAGATGAGTTTTACTAATTGACAATTAGTTGTCGTGGAATTAAAGTAATTGCAGGTAAATTGAGACCTGCAACCATTTGTCATCCTGCTTTCTCATGCACCCGTTCTTGACACGGCTTTTTAAAGACGTCATATCTTACATCAAGACTTTTGTTCTGTACTTCTGTGTTCTCCTATAAGAGCCAGAAAAAGCTAGACAGACTTTGCTGCTCCAAAGTGCCAGGTCTATACTGAACCAAAGTGCTGCAATGGCAGAAGAAGCAGAGGTAGTGAAGAACAAGCAGGTGGTGTTGAAAAACTATGCAACCGGATTCGTAAAAGACTCTGATTTCATCATCAAAACAGACAGCACCATGAGCTTGAAAGTCCCAGAAAGCTCCAGTAAAGGGGTATTGGTTAAGAATTTCTACTTGTCTTGTGATCCTTACCTGAGCTTTCTCATGCAAAAATCAGATTCTTCTCTTGAAGCGCAATTCTCTCGTTTCTCCCTTGGCTCTGTAAGTATAATTTTCCTTCCTGCTGTCAGTGTTTGAAGTTTGTAATACTATTTTATTGTTATGCTATCATAATCTCTCGATATAGACAATAATTGTGGCGTGGAAGTTGAATGCTTCGTTCATTGTGTTTATTGTCTTCTGTTAGAGGTAATTGGTTAATAGCTAAAAGGGCTTCTTCAGAAATCAGAGTAAGGTTAAAAAGTTTCTGATGGAGGGAGACCTTTCAATAGGGTCTAGCATTTTTCCTGAATTTGTTAGTAACTAACCGCAGTACATGCATTTTTCTTGGCCAAATCGACCTTCCAATATATTATGATTTTGTTTATCTTTCGTCATTGAGGAACATTATTCAATTTTCTAAGTTTGATGACAATTTACATGTCAATTGAGAATCTAAACTCCTAGGAATATGCTCAAACTTATCTTGCCGAAAAAAAAAAAATGAAGTTCAAGATGTTAGAATAAATGAAAATTAAGGTAATAAAACTTCTTTTTCTTTTGTAAACCTCTGTGGAAGCTTCTCATTTGACCAGAATTTGTTATTCCTCACCATCAGATCTGTTGGCTGATATTTATCGTACAGCATTGAATAGAATGATTTTTTGTTGCATTTTTGACAACTGATGTATCTGAAATTTTATGTTTGTATCTGTTTTACTGAAATGGTGATAATTTGCAGACAATAAATGGATTTGGGGTAGCTAAAGTAGTGGATTCAAGGCATCCAAAGTTCGAGAAGGGTGACTTGGTGTGGGGTATAACTGGATGGGAGGAGTACAGTCTCATAGCAGAACCTGATTCTCTTTTCAAGATTGAGCATACAGATGTACCCCTTTCCCATTACACTGGACTTCTAGGTGAGCTCCACACTTGCTGAGTGATGTCATTTTGCAATTGGAGATGTAGCTGAAAATTGTATAACAATCCAAATTTGATTTGCATAACCTTGAGAACTAAAACTCGGTAACTATGTTTTCAGGGGACTTTTTCTGTGCATGCAAAATCGATGCTTGTGAACTTGTGCATTTCTTTTTCAGTTTCATGAAATTTCATTTTCCAGTGTGTGGTCATCTGGTGCTATTGTGTTTCATGCATATTATGTGGTTGTGCGTTTTCCCATGATGTTCTTCTTTTGGATGTGTTTTTGCACTAGTGGTAGCATGTCATCGTCTTTCATGGTCAGCCACTGAATTTTCTGCTCACCAAGTTCTCTGGACTTCAAATTTCAGTGATACCCTGATAATGTTTACCCTAGGAAAAGTGAAAGAGGGTACTGAACTTTCTCTACTCAACATTTGTGGTTCAGCTCACACTTTTTTGAGTTTGCTAAGATAATGCAGACGTGCGACTACTAGTTGTACAAGCATCAATCTAAATTTGAAAGACAAATAAAGTTTTCTCGACCAAAAGATAGGACATGAGATATGAAGACATGTTAATTGAAATTTTGGTTTTCAGGAATCCCATGAGGAATTTAAAGATATATCTCCACGAAAAGCAGTACCTAAATAACTCTAAAACCTTTCCCCTCCCATGTCCTGAAACCACCCTCTAGCCCGCGGCTCCTTTAGTTTCATCCCATAATTGGGATGGCTATTATTTTTCCTTTTCAAAGGAAGGATATATGCATCCCTTGGTTATTTTAAACCTCATCTTAGGACTGCATTTGTGCATGACAAACCAGCTTTGATACGGTTCAATCAACAATAACAAGCAAAGGATAGGATGTTAACTTTCGTTCTTCATAAAAGACTTTCATTATTACAAGAACTAGTGTTTTTCTTAAAAGACAGCTATTCATCTGTAGCAGTAAAGGAACCCTAAACAAATAGCATCACATAATCCTTTAGCATTTTTTTCATTGATATTAACACTATGTGTTTTGAAGGTATGTCTGGTTTGACTGCTTATGGTGGACTCTTTGAGGTTTGCAATCCAAAGAAGGGAGAAAAAGTATTTGTATCTGCAGCATCTGGTTCTGTTGGCCTGCTTGTTGGACAATTTGCAAAATTGACAGGCTGCCATGTAATAGGAAGTGCTGGAAGTAGAGAAAAGTATATCAAGTTTATTACTTCTTATTTCTTCCAAGTTGAATGTTGCTTTTTTGTTTGTTGTACAGACCACAAGGTATATTAGACCACCTCTACCTTAGGACCATTTCTGACAGTTGTTTCTTTTGATAACCCAAGTGTACACATGGTTCTCTACTGCAGAGTAAGTTCAATATTTCGTGCATTTTTTACCTTTTTGGCCTGATGTTGTGTCTGGCTCTGCAACCTGCTACATAGACTTTCATATAATTGGAATTTCATGTAATTAAAAAGCAGCCTTTGAATTTTGATTGCAAATTCCAGAATTTCTTGTCATCCATGTCAGGGCAGATGGTCATGTGCTTCTGAGTTTTCATGTTTGGCCAACGGCTTCATCTTGGGTCGAAATTGCATTTAGCATCTCATGCATTACTCAAGACCTGGTTGTTGATTTTGAGTAAATTTTCATCCTGATATTGGTCTTATTCCACACTCTACAGTTTGACCTTGTATTTGTCTTCGTCCAGCTAATAATATTTTTGATTCATATATGTGTTCTAACTTCCGCTTTAAATTTATGTTGACAAGGTTGATCTTCTGAAGAATAAGTTCGGATTTGATGATGCTTTCAATTATAAAGAGGAGCAGGACTTGGATGCAGCTTTGAAAAGGTATGCAACATTCTAATCATCATTGCCTAACATTAACATATTCTAATTATGTGTTTAAAGCTTCTGAGAGTGAATTGTTAATTAAATACTTTTTATACCAGTGGTAGCTTTTTATAATGCTTTACCTTAAGAGCACTCTAGGAAATTCGTGTGCAATAATTATCTTCAATGCACCCACTTTTTCACCATAGTTTGAGATCATTTAGCCTTGTAACTTCTTCTGCTTGAGAAAGATTGTGACTAAAATCATAGCAAATCTAATATTAGACTTTCATGAAGGTTTTCTCCTGTCTTTCATAAAGTACATGGTTCTAAGTGCATGGTTAAAGACTCTGTAATTGGAGTCATCTATGGGGTAAGTGGAGTCCCGCTATTCAAAAATATCCTGTAGCTTCTTGCTTAAATTCCAGAATCCAAGCAACCAAAGTTTCTTGTAAAAAGCCCCAATTTGGTGATAGATTCCCCTTTCCACAAGCATCCAGTATTCTGGTATCCATCTCATGTAACTTGTTTGCCTTTAAACTAGAAATCTTTTCAAGCACCTAATTGGGTGATTTCTTTTTAGTATTAAAAAATCTATTATTTCTATCTTGCCATAGCTAGAGGCAATAATTGCCAAAATCTTGTGTAGCCTATCTTTCAAACTTGTTCTCCTCAGTTGCTCTGTAATGACATCTTACATTCCAACTATAAGATGTGCCATTTATGTTCGACATCTCTGAGGTATCTGACCAAATTTTTAGTAGGGAAATCACAAAGAACATTTAAAGTTTCCAGGATTTTGTGAGCTATGACAGTGAAAATTGGATGTAATATAGATGGCAAAGAACCTAGATTGTCATGGTGTCCTCAGAATTTAGAAGCAAGCAAAAGAACCAGATCAGTCAGGCACTCTTGTCTGAAATGAAGCAAGATGGAATTATTAGCCTGATCAGGTTGCTGACTAGCGTTCATTAACTGCTACTGTCCTAACTGTACTCTTAGTGGTTGGTTATCTAGAGCAGGCCAAACCAGCTTGTGCTGTCAAATTACCGAGCTTACTCGTAAGAGTCTGACTACAGATCATACTGATTTGGGAGAACTTAAAGCAACAGCTGCAGGAATGCCACCTACAATACCTGTTTTCTGTTCGCTAAGCAGTGTTAACAATATGCTTAACCAAACATTTTCTACTGCATATACAAGAGGCCCATGATTCATTTGGAATGAGGAGCAGAGGAACACCCCAAATGAAAACAAAGATTAAAATTAACAAGAGCCAGAAATAAAGACAGGATAACTATGAAGGCTGCTCTCCAGTCTTGTCCAAGTTTCTACCAAGTAGCTGTCAGAAGCACATTTTATTTTTCCAGTGTCCCTTTGTGGAATGACTTTGAATGTTGCCCTTCAGTTTTCTATCGATGGACAGTAAAACAATAGAAACAGAAATACCTATATAATGAAAACTTTTAGATTTGATTGACATTACTTGTATACAAAACCAATATTTGTTCCTCTTTCTTCCATTGTGTCTAGTGACCGTCATGATTGCCTTAACTTTTTAATTGTTATGCATGGAAATATGGATTTCCCTCAAGGTCGCAATGGCCTAGTTAGAGTGCAGTAAGCGTTGACATAACTTAATTGGTTGAATTTCTTTTGCAGGTACTTCCCTGAAGGAATTGATATTCACTTCGAAAATGTTGGGGGAAAGATGTTGGATGCTGTGCTTCTCAACATGAGAATGCATGGACGAATTGCTGTGTGTGGACTGATGTCACAATACCACCAAGAGAAACCTGAAGGACTATATAATGTGGCTTCTATTCTTATCAAGCGTCTTAGAATGGAGGGATTTGGTGTGTTTGATTACCTTCACCTCTATCCGAAGTTTTTGGACCTTGTACTACCACAAATCCGAGAAAAAAAGATCACCTATGTAGAAGACATTGCAGAAGGCCTTGAAAATGGTCCTGCTGCCCATGTTGGTCTGTTTAGTGGTCGCAATGTCGGGAAACAGGTTGTTTTGGTTGCTCGTGAATGATCTCAGGTTCCTTTGACCATCCCTTTGTACATGGAGTATGTACCTGAGTCTACTGGCTATTAGCAATTTAATTCCGCTAGTTTGAGCTCTCATGCGTTTGTGCACCTGGAGTTCTTTGTGAACTTTATCAGGCCAGATAATACAGTGCCAAGTTGAAGTCAAGGATGAGTAAATCCTGATTTCGATTTGTTGCCATCAGAATCTACGCAGATATTTTCTGTTTCTTGTTTCAGATGAATAAATAAGCTTACCTATCAGAACACTTGTGCATCTTTGAATTGTGCTTTCAAGATTGAATTTTTAGTTTCCTAGATTATAAATTAAGTTTCTAGCAATGGGGAAAATTGTTTTCTAATTGAAAGGCTAAAGCTCGTATCTTGATCATCATGGGAAATCTCTTTTGGCTTTTCTTTTGTTGGCTGCTATGGCACTTATTGGTAGGTTTTCTATTTGCCATGCCAAACTCCTTTTGTCTGGAAGATAAGGAATAATGGAAACCTATAGTCTCTAAAAAGTAATGAAAATTCGTTACTAGATGAGCTGGTTAGGAAGGGCTTCTTAAAATTCGTTATGTAGACTAGGCCGAAGGTTCAAACTTCTTCTTAAACGTAAATTCATCTAACTGAGTTGGTTTGGGAGGACTCCTTTCATTTTACCTATATTGTCAACTAAAAATAACAGATCACATCTTCGTAGCTTAAGCAATTCATTAGAAAGAGTATCGATTTTGCCCATTTTGAACATTCATTTCTCATATTTCGTTGGCTTTTAGCACTATAAAAACCAAATTCTCAACCCAGGGATCCCTTTTTATTTCGTCTTAGTATCTCATCTGATAAAGGAATACTATAGCAGTTTATGTAATCATTCAATTGAAGAATTTCTTGTATAAGTGAGATATGCAGCCATTTGTTCAGCTTTCTTTCAGGCTTGTTTGTTTGTTGGACAGGCGTCATATCTTACATCTATAGCTTAATTTATCCTCTCCTGCAAAAGCCAGCAAATATATGTTTCAAAAGTTCTCTCACTCCATCTAACAGGCATTCACAGAAAAAGATTGCAAAATTTTCTGCTCTCAACCATAGTGATTGATAGTGCTGCAATGGCACTAGAAGCAGAGGTGGTGAAGAACAAGCAGGTGATGTTGAAAGTCTATGTAACTGGACTCCCAGAGGAGTCTGATTTCAACATCAGGCTGCACACCACCATAAGCTTGAAAGTCCCAGAAAGCTCAAATAATGGGGTGTTGGTTAAGAATCTATACCTGTCATGTGATCCTTTTATGCGCCTTCTCATGCAAAAACCAGAATCTTCTCTTCAGGATGTAATCTCTGGTTACTCCCCTGGCTCTGTAAGTATAGTATATCTTGCTTCCTGCTATTGGTCATTGAAATGTGTAGTTCTGTTTTGCTGTTGTGTTATGCTGGGAATGATTTGTATGGGGTTTGTACATTAGGAAGAGAATGCATTGTTTACTTTATTCTCTTAGAGGGAAATAGTGAAGTGTTAAAAGGGCTTCTTCAGAAAGCAGAAATGGTTAATTTTTGTGAGCTGAAATGGAGCTGAAATCGGTAAAAGGGGAACCTTTGAATAGACGCTAATACTTCTCTTGAATTTGTTACTAATCAACTGCAATACATGTATATATTATTTGGCCAAATTGACCTTCTAATATCTTGTCTTTGGTGGTTGAGGATGATCTATACAATTGGTTCAAGTTTCTGAGCTTGATGACGGTTTTCATGTGAATTATGAAGCAAGATTCCTTGTCTTGGAAAACCAAAATCTAATGAAATCAAGATAATAGAAAAATTGCAAATAAGCTAAAACAGTAATTTTGTTTGGTTCTTTTTGAAAATTTCAATTTGTACTCCCAACACTTGGAAACTTTTCATGGTTGGAGGAATTTAATGATTTCTTATTCCATGCCACTTTAAGATCAGATCTGTCAAATGATATTTGTTGCAAATCATTTTAAAAGAATGAATATGAATGTGTTTTTGCTGTATGCTTATGATAAGTGATGTAACTGACAACTTATGTTTGCATCATTTAACTTAAATGGTGATAACTTGCAGACAATAGGTGGGTTTGGGGTTGCTAAGGTGGTGGATTCAAGGCACCCAAAGTTCGAGAAGGGTGACTCGGCATGGGGTCAAACTAAATGGGAGGAGTATAGTCTAATAGCAGAATCTGATTCTCTTATCAAGATTGAGCACACAGAAGTACCCCTTTCCTATTACACTGGACTCTTGGGTAACTTCCACTCTTGCTAACAGTTATCTTTCAGGAATTGGAGATGTTGTAGCTGTCGGGGAAATTGGATAATTTCCCACTCAAAATTGCAATTACTAGATGGGTAATAAAAGAGATAAGGAAAAAAAAAATACACTCGAAATTGATAACGGAGTTCGGTCAAATATGCCTAATTTCCGAGCACCGCCTAAACAACCTACTTTTATTAATTTGGGAGAAGAAAGAATATAAAATTTTGGTGTGTTTCAATTGAGAGGGGAGAGTATTAATTTATAACTCTCAGACACTCCTCCTAAGACCTATCTCATCGATGTGGGACAGAAACTTATACCAAAAAAGTCAACAAATCTTCATCTTGGCATAATTTCTAATCTCACCACAAACACAAATATTCTCACTCAAACAAAATAATAAACGGTCATTGCGGTACTTTCAAATTTGCGTCCTTAGACGCCAACTCAAATATCCAGAATGTTGACCAAGTCTAAACAATATTCAAACTTGGATCTTGTAACTATCTTGGTCAACATATCTACAGGAATCTCTGTAGTTCGAATCTTTTGGAGAAAAATCTCCTCTTCTTCGAGAATTTCCCGCTCGAAATGATAGCGAATATTAATGTGCTTCGTTCTAGCGTGCACGACCTGGTTCTTCGCTAAGTGAATAGCACTCTGACTGTCACAAAACACATCAATGTGTTTTTGATCAACTCTCAAATCTTCAAGCAATCCTTGAAACCAAATTGCCTCCTTCACAGTTTTGGTAATCACCATATACTCTGCCTCTGTTGTAGATAAAGCCACTGTTGGCTGTAAAGTAGATTTCCAATTAACTGGCGCCTTGGCAAACGTGAACAAGTAACCAGTTGTAGAATGTCGCTTATCCAAGTCACCTGCATAGTCAGAATCACAATATCCAATTACACATTGACCAAGTGATTCATCCTGCTCAAATATTAATCTAACATCTACAGTATTTTGGATATACCACAAAATTCATTTCACAGCTTGCCAATGACCCTTGCCCGGATCATGCATGAACCTTCTTATCACACTAACTGCTTGTGAAATGTCGAATTTCGTACATACCATTGCATACATCAAGCTACCAAATGCATTAGCATACGGGACTTTCGCCATGTATGCTCGCTCTTCATCCGTCTTTGAAGATAATAGGTTGGTAAGTTTCAAATGAAGAGCAACCGGAGTGCTTACAAGTTTTGAATCTCCATTCATACCAAATCATTATAGTATCTTTTCCAAATACTACTTTTGTGTGAGACAAAACTTGCTTCTCATTTTATTTCTACTTATTTCCATGCCGAAAATCTTTTTGGCTTCTCCCAAATCTTTCATTTCAAATTATTTACTTAACTGAGTCTTCAATTTATTAATTTCAACTTGGCTCTTTGACGCTATCAACATATCATCAACATACAAGAGTAAGTAGATATAGGACTCATCTCGTAACTTGCGCAAATACATACATTGGTCGTATTTGCTTCTTGTGTACTTGTGACCCATCATGAACTGGTCAAATCGTTTGTACCATTGTCTCGGTAATTGCTTCAATCCACATAATGATTTGCTCAACTTACAAATCCAATTCTCTTTACCAGCAACATTGAATCCATCTGACTGAGATATATAAATTTCCTCCTTCAAGTCACCGTGAAGGAACGTGATTTTCACATTAAGTTGAGTTAGTTCCAAATTCAACTGTGCTACCAAGGTTAACAGGATTCTAATAGAGGAATGTTTAACCACTGGAGAAAATATCTCATTATAATCAACTCCCTCTTTTTGAGCATAACCTTTAGCTACCAATCTTGCCTTGTAGCGAACATTATTCTTGTCAGGAAATCCTTTTTTTTTTTGCAAATACCCATTTGCATCCAATTGCCTTTTTGCCCTTCGATAGTTTTGTCAATTTCCATATCTTGTTCTTCTAAAGAGATTACATCTCTTCTTCCATAGCATCTTTCCATCTATCATTTTCTGTACTTTGAACTATTCCAGAAAAGGTGGATGAGACATCATCAACAACTAGAAGTGCATAGGCCACCATATCAGTAAAACGAGTAGGTTTTTGAATTTCTCGTCTTTGCCTATTGACGGCAATTGACTCTTACTGCTGTTGAGGTTCTAGGGTTGAAATCTCTTTCTCATCTGACTCCTCTTTTGCCATAGGAAAGTCATTGATGGTGTTGTTTGCTGATCTCACTATTATTTGCTCAAACTCCACATGTTTTGGCGTACACTCCACCTGTTACGGAGTACTACTGGTCCCATCTTGTGCTACCTTATTCAACATGACAGATTTATCAAAGGTAATATCCCTGCTGATAATGATTTTCTTTACTTTTAGACATCACAAATGATATTCCTTAACTCTAGTATTAAAACCCATAAAGAGAAACTTCTTTGCGCGTGGATCCAATTTTAATTCATTTACATGATAATATGCAGTAGAACCAAAGATATGCAAAAAATCATAGTCTGTTGCAAGTTTTTCAAACCATACTTCTAACGGAGTCTTGCCACCTATTGCAGATGATAGCAAGCGATTGACGAGATGTTGAGTGTATGTCACAGTCTCAACCCAAAACTTTTGGCCTAACCCAGCATGCAACGAACTTTCTCCACTAGTGTCTCGTTAATACGCTCTGACACCCTGTTCTGCTACGGTGTTTTTCTAACTGTGAAGTGCCGAACTATGCCACACTCTTGGCATTTCTCCTGGAAGAAATCACTCTTGTATTCTCCATCATTGTCTGTTCGGAGAATCTTGATCTTTCTTCTCGTCTGGTTTTCAACCTAAGTTTTCCATTTAAGGAAAATACTTAGCATATCATCTTTGTTCTTCATAGTAAATGCCCAAACTCTTCTGGAAAAATTATCAACAAAAGTGACAAAATAGTACATGTCTCTAAGGGATGGAGTCTTGAGAAGTCCCCACACATCTAAATGCACATAATCCAAAATACCTTTGGTATTATGGATGTCAGTGCTAAATTTCACTCTTCTCTATTTTTTCAGAATACAATGCTCACAAAATTCTAATTTACAAGCTTTTGTACCTTTCAACAATTCTTACTTGGCAAGATTTTGCAAAGATTTTCACCAGCATGTCCCAACTGCATGTGTCACAACTTTATTGCCTCCATTTCCTTCTTGCTATTGGAAGATGTTGCTGCTACTGCTATCTTAACAACTGTATTATCTTGGTAGTAATACAAATTATTCCTCCTCACACCTTTCAACATCACAAGTGTTCCCGAAATTGATTTAAGAATTTCATCTCGCATCATTATAATCAGGTCTTTTGATCCAAGGCCCCCAAAGAAATAAGATTCTTCTTCAAATTCGGCACGACCGAACATCCTTCAAGATTCTGGTGGAACCATCATGATTACGCAGTTTGATTGAATTTATCCCAACTGTTTTACATGAATTGTCATTTCCAACGTAAACAACTTCACCATCAAGTTCTTCAAATTCAAAGAATCATTCCTGCATAGGAGACATATGGTGGGTACAACCTAAATCCAAAATCTACTCATCTGGATGGGATATTGAAGGTGATACAGCCAAAGAGAAATCTGATTCCGCATCACTTTTGCACTCTACAACATTTAAGTCTTGCGGAGCTTTCTCTTTTTTCTTCAATTTTGAACAGGCTTTCTTCCAGTGCCCTTTCTCATGACAGAAAGCACACCCATCTTTGACAACTATATTTTTCGATTTGGACCTTCCTCTTTTTCCCTTTGATTGGCTTTGCTGACGATCTCTTGCCACTAACGCTTCATCTGCTGTAACTACTTTGTTTTTCATTTTATCCTACTTTCTCAATTCATGACTATACAAAGCAGAACATACAACATCTAAAGACACATTCTCCTTCCCATGAAATAACGTAGTCTCCAAATGTTCAAATTCATTAGGAAGGGATGACAACACATCAAAGCCAAATCTTTATTTTTAAATTTCACATCTAAATTTAATAGGTCTGCTACTAACTGATTAAATATAGTGATATATTCATTCATACTAGTACCTGATTGGTAATCAAATCGGAACAATCTTTTCATCATAAGGAGTTTATTCTGACCACTCTTCTTCATAAAACTTCTCCTCCAATGCCTTCCACAATTTTCATGCAGAAGTCTCGTTCTTGAAAGCATACTTATGCTTTCTGGACAAATATGATCGAATAATTTCACATGCCAACCGATTTATGGTGCTCCACTCCTTCTCTTCTATGTCATCTGGTTTCTTTTCTTCAATGGCAATGTCAAGACCCTGTTGAAAAATGGAATCTACTCGTTCTTGAAAGTATACTTTTGCTTTCTGGACAAATATGATCGAATACTTCCGCATGCTAACCGATTTATGGTACTTTACTCCTTTTCTTCCATGCCATCTAGTTTCTTTTTTTCAATGGCAATGTCAAGACCCTGTTGAAAAATGGAATCTATGACTTTGCCTTACCACATGCCGAAATGACCAGTACAGTCAAATATCTCCACCGCCAGCTTCAAACTTTACATTGGAATCCTCGATCATGTGGACGAGGAAGCTAATGCCCTGGACTCATTTATCGGTGAATCGTCTAACGCCATTACAGACTCAAATGATAGTATTCAATATAACAAATTACAAACAAACCAAAGGGTGAACCTTCGGCTTTGATACCACTTGTCGGAAAAATTGGATAATTTTTCACTCAAAATTGCAACTATCAGATGTGTAATAAAAGAGATAAGGAAAAAAAAAATACACTCGAAATTGATAACGGAGTTTGGCCAAATGTGCCTAATTTTCGAGCACCGTTTAAGCAACCTGCTCTTATTAATTTGGAAGAAGAAAGAATACAAAATTTTGGTGTGTTTCAATTGGGAGGGGAGAGTGTTAATTTATAATTCTCAAACACTCCCCCCAAGACCTATCCCACCTATGTGGGACAGAAACTCATGCCAAAAAAGTCAACACTAGCTAATAATTAGGTAAGAATTTTGGTCCCTAGAACCTAGAGAACTTGGAACTGAATATATTGAGTTCTCAGGAGAGTGTGTCTGCACAAAGAGATATCTTTTCACAATTGGAGATGTTGTAACTGAAATTTTCTAAGAATTCAAAATTTAATTCAAAATTTGATTCTTGTAGCCTTGAGAACTAAAACTAAATATAAAAGAGTTGCACTTTTTTTACATTAATATATGACGCATCAAAAGAGCTTTGTTAGAAAAGCACTCTATGGATTTGGTTCAGCTCAGAGCTTTCAAGTTTGCTTAGATAATGAGAATGTGTGACTAGTAATTGTAAGTTGCACATGCTAATGTTAATAGTTGGGCGATCTGAAATGATTTCGGGCCAAAAGATGGAAGAAATAAGAGAAGACATGAAAATCGAGTTTTTCAAAGGAAGTTTTAGCAAGTAGGAATTCGTGAATAAATCTAAACATGTGTTTTCTGCAAATTGCATTACCTGAACAACTTCAAGATCCTTCCCTTCCTATTGCTGAACCACCCTTAGGGCCCCTGGTTCCTTTTCTTACAGCTTGGAGATAGAATACTTATTAGTTTTAGCTTTTAATGGATGGACACTGTCCCTAGTTCTTAAAGACCTTCTTTTACGACTGCACTTGTACATGAGAAACCAGATTGATGTGATTCCTTCAATAACAATGGCACATGGTAGAATGATAACTTTCGAGCAACTTTAGTTCTTCTTAAAGAATAAAGGTTCCAGGAAGGCTGCAATTCATTTTTTCCATTGATAGTCCTTCAAAGTTGGCATCACATAATTCTTAAGTTTTTCTTCTTTTAGCACAGTGATAGTTTTGTTTCTTGTAGGTATGCCTGGTTTGACTGCTTTTAGTGGGTTGTATGGGGTTTGCAATCCAAATAAGGGAGAAAAAGTATTTGTATCTGGAGTATCTGGTGCAGTTGGCCAGCTTGTGGGACAATTCGCAAAATTGATAGGCTGCTATGTAGTTGGAAGTGCTAAAACGTTATATCAAGTTTTCAATGTTTTGTTACTGTTAAGAAAATATAAGTACTATTTGTAGATAATAAATTAATAAAGATATTTTTATAAATAGTTTGTTAGATTTGTACTATTATAAATATTAGTTAGGTACTCATAATATGGGTGCTAGATGTTTTTCTCATAAAATACATATTCTCATGGTATCAGAGCTAAAGTCTTAGGTTTAGGGTTAAACATCTTAACAAAAGTCCTGTTCACGCGATACTGTTCATTGCATAATGTTTACGCGGTATTGTTCATCGCGTACTGTTCATGTGATACTATTCATCGCATTACTGTTCATGCATACTGTTCACGCGTTACTGTTCCAAGGTATTGTTCATCACAAATTTTGACTATTTTTTTGGTTTGAAGTGCTATGGCTAAAAATTTATGAAAACGCATCATGACGTCCACAAATATTATGCCAATGGTGATGCCTTAAATCACAAATTGAAAGTTGAAAGACATTAATTATCAACAGTGGTCAAAAGTTATTAAGATTTATCTGACTGGTTTAGGAAAGCAACAATATCTCACAGATAACTCTCTTACGGAGGATAACAAGAGACTAATATGGATTCAAGAGGATGCCCAAATTCTTGGAGTACTATGGAATTCTATGGAGCCAATAATTGCTTATATGTTTTTTCATTGTGAGACAACAAAAGAAGTTTGGGATTATGTCTAGTTATTATACTGCAATAATCTTTCATAGATATATGATATTTCTTTGGAGTATTTTCAATTGCAACAAGATAACAAGGCAATAACTGAATACTTTGCAGATCTCAAGTGAATTTTAGAAGAATTAAATGTTGTAATGTCTTTCTCAAGTGATATTACAGTTATGCAGAGGTAAAGAGAACAAATGCTTATGCTCAAATTCTTGGCTGGTCTTAAGTCAGAATTTGAACTAATCAAATTTCAAAATTTAGCCGGTGAACAATTACTATCCTTTACCGAGACGTATACTCGTGTCTTACGTTTTGCATTTAAGGATAATGCACAGGGTGATGGTGCTCTAATTAATGACAAGTCTGTTTCGGATAGAGCAACTTAGTCTTCGACGTGAGCAATTTAGTTTTGGGCGTGGCTCTCGTGGAGGAAGAAGTAGAGGAGGTCGTAGAGGTCGAGACATCCGTGAGTACACTCATTGTGGTTTAAAAAATCACACTCGTGATATTTGTTGGAATTTAGTTGGAAAACCTCCTCTGTTTGCTAATGCAGTTATCATTGACCAAACTGAATCAAGTTCTTCAGCACAAGGGTCCCAGAAGACTTTTACCATATCCAAAAAAGATTATGTTAAATTTTTACAGTACCAAACTGCAAATCATGTATCTTTTCTCTCTGCTTCTTTAGTATAAAAAAGTAATGCTATGGCTTGTCTCTCCACATCCTCTAATTTTGACTCATGGATTATTGATTCCGAGGTTACTGATCATATGTCAGGTATCTCTAGAAATTTTTCTAATTTTTAACAGTTTATTTTCTTTTTTCATACTACTTTAGCTGATGGATCTATAACTAACGTTAAAGGATCAAGCACTGTAAAAGTTAGCCAATCTCTTCCGCTATCATCTGTTCTTTACGTACTCAATTTGCCTTTTAATCTAATGTCTGTTAGTAAGTTTACTAAATTTTTACAGTGTTCAGTTATTTTTTCTCCTAATTTCGTTGTCATTTAGGATTTGAAGATAAAAAGGACGATTGGTGGAGGGCATTAGCATAATGGTCTTTATTTTCTCAACTCCAATGGTCCGATTACGTGTCTTGCTACTGTTTCTTCTCTTAAAATTCACTGTTATTTTGGTCATCCATCTCTACAAAATTTGAAGAAGTTGGTTCCTACTTTGAATCAGTTGTCTTCATTAGAATATGAGTCTTGTTAGTTAGAAAAGCATATTCGTGTTTCTTTTGCCCCTACAGTCAATAAATGAGTTTCTGAACCCTTTTTATTAGTTCATTCTGATGTTTGGAATCCTAGTTGAGTCACTTCAAAGTTAAGTTTTAAATATTTTGTAATCTTTGTTGATGACTTTACCAGAGTTATGTGATTTTATTTAATGAAAAATCATTCAGAGCTATATTTCATTTTTTGTGCATTTGTTACAGAAATAAAGAATCAATTTGGTATGCCTATACGTATGCTTCACAATAATAATACAAAATAATATTTTTTAACTTCTTTTGATACTTTTATGACTAAATCTAGTATTATTCATCAGTTCTCTTGTTCCCATACTTCACAACAAATTGGAGTTGACGAAAGAAAAATTGGACATTTAGTCGAAATTGCTCGAATACTTTTGTTGTACGTGAATGTGCCCAAACAATTTTGGAGTGATTAATTTTAACCGCATGTTATTTAATTAATTGCATGTCAGCTAATATTTTTGGAAGCCAATTGCCTCACTTCATTCTTTTTTCTCATGAATCTGTATTTAAATTATCTCTTCGTATTTTTGGATGTATGTGTTTTGTTCATCAGCTTGCTCTCAAGATAGATAAATTAGATTTTCATGCTATTAAGTGTATTTTCTTAGAATACGCACTAGTGCAAAAAGGGTATAGATGTTATAGTCAAGTTTTAAATTAATTTTTTACTTGTGTTGATGTTATTTTTCTTTGAATCTACTCCTTATTTTATGAAACAAGGTATGCTTTGTGAGTTAGAATAATGTTTCTTTTTTCCTTCTCCTATTTTACTAGTCCCTTCACCTTTATTATCTGAGTTATACAGTCTACCAAATTTCACAACTCGGTTATCTTATTCTAATTTTCAAGTTTATTCTCGTCATTTCGTAGTTGAAAAAGCTACTGATATGCCACGCACTTCATCAATTACCTCTTAATTTTTAAATTCAGGTATGACTCCCTCCTATGAGTTAGATCTTCTTGTTGCTTTACGCAAAGGTAAGAGGCATTGTACTTCTCATCCTATTTCTAATTTTGTTTCTTATTCTTGTCTCTCTGTCATATTCTTCTTTTGTTGCTTCACTTGATTCTGTATCAATTTCTAAGTCTATTACCCATGTTCTCAATCATCCTGGTTGGAGATTAGCTATACAAGAAGAGATGTTTGTTTTAGAGCAAAATGGTATTTGGAACTTGTCCCACTTCCTTCTGTTAAGCCTGTTATTGGTTGTAAGTGGGTATACACTATAAAAGTACAATCTAATGGTTCTATTGATAGATTGAAGGTTCGTCTGGTAGCTAAAGGATTTACTCAGGTGTATGGAATAGACTACTTAGAGACATTTTCTTTTGTTGTAAAGATTACTTCTGTTCGTCTTCTTATCTCTTTGGCAACAACTTATGATTGGCCATTACATCAGTTGGATGTGAAAAATACATTTTTACATGGAGATTTAGAAGAAAGGTATATATGGAACAACCTCCTGGGTTTGCTGTTCAGGGAGAAAATTCGCGATTGATTTGTCGTCTAAAAAAATCCTTATATGGATTGAAATAGTTTCATAGGGTTTGGTTTGGCTGGTTTAGTAGTGTTGGCATGAAATTCGGTTTAATAAGATGTGGAGTAGATCACTCTATATTTTATTGGTATTCTAATGCTGGTAAGATTTTATTAGTTGTTTATATGGATGATATTGTGATTACAATTGATGATATTGTAGGGATCCTGAAACTTAAATCCAATGTGTAGTCAAACTTTCAGACATAGGATTTAGGTCATTTATAGTATTTTTTGGGTATTATGATAGTTCGGTATAAATATGAGATTTATTTATGTAAAAAAAAATATGTACTCGACATGCTGAGTGAAGTTGAAATATTAGGTTGCCGATCTGTGGATACTCCTATGGATCATAATGTGAAATTAGTAGGAGATCAAGGTGCATTACTAGATGATCTTGGGTAATATCAAAGACTTGTGGATAAATTAAATTATCTCATTGTAACAAACCCTGACATTTCATTTGCAGTGAGTGTCATGAGTCAATTTCTTGAGACCTCTTGTACCAGTCATTCGGATGCTGTTATATGAATTCTCAGGTATCTTAAGAGTGCTCCTGAAAAGGGTTGCTGTATCAAAATTATGGGCACAGTAATATTGAAGGATACAGTGATACAGATTGGGTTGGTTCTGCCTCAAATCGAAAATCAACCACAGGATATTGTGTGTTTGTTGGTGGTAATTTAGTGTCGTGAAAGAGTAAGAAGCAAACAATTGTCTCCAGATCAAGTGCAAAATCTGAATACCGCGCTATGGCTCACACTGTGTGTGAGTTGATTTGGTTGAAAATCATGTTACTTGAAATTGGATTTGAGCATAAACAACGTATGAATTTAGTATGTGATAATCAGGCGACTGTTCATATTGCGTCTAACTCAGTATTTCATGAATGGACAAAACATAATGAAGTTGAGTGTTATTTCATTCGAGAGAAATTACTTGATGGAGTCATCAAGACATCTCATGTACCATTTGTAGATCAATTGGTTGATTTGTTTACCAAGAGTTTAGGGGGTTTTAAGGTAAATTACATTTGTAAGAAGTTGGGTGCTTATGATAAATATGCTCCAACTTGAGGGGAAGTATTAAGAGAATAGAAGTATTCTTTGTAAATAATAAATGAGTAAGAGTATTCTTATAAATAGTTTATTAGGTTTGTACTATTATAAATACTAGTTAGGCACTTATAATATGAGTGCTAGATGTTTTTCTCCCAAAACACATATTCTCAGTTCCTTTCAAGTTGAACATTGAACTTTTGTTGGTGAGCGGATGAATAGGTATATTTTATATGCCTCTACTTTTCTGGTGGTTGTTATGTTGAACAACCTTCCTGTATTTATGGTCCACTATTTCAGAGTTTGTGCAACATTTCCGGAAATTATTCTCTTTTATGACCTAATGTTGTATTTGACCTTGCAACCTGCTACATAAAATCCACCTACACGGTTTATATGAAGTTGCTGATCTCACCTTTTAATGGTTGAAGTGTTTCACTGCAATAATCTAGTTCAACCGGTTGTCTCAGTTGTTTTGCCAGTGTAACTGGAACTTCATAACATTGTTGATGAATGGTAGTAGGATTTTTATTGCAATATTTCTTCTCTCTTTCATTCGTTTGAGGGCAGAAGGCCATATGCTCCTGGAGTTTCACATTTGGCTGTTTGCTTTGTTTTAGGTCAAATTTACATTAGCCCTTCATGCCTTACTCAAGGAATGATTACATGGTTCACATAATTTTGCAGTGTTCAATGATGGTAGAGTTTTAATAAGAATTGATTCTTGATTTTGAGTACCTTTTGATTCTGCTTTGGCCCTGTTACAGGGCCTAGAGTTTAGCCTTGAATAATTCTTTATCCAGCAGGTTTTGTTATCCATTTATGCATGTGCTCTAACTTGCACTTCACATTTAAATTGACAAGGTTGATCTTCTGAAGAACAAGTTAGGATTTGATGACGCTTTTAACTACAAAGTAGCAGAGGACTTGGCTGCTGCTTTGAGAAGATATGCAACCTGTTTAGCTCATAAAAAGGTGACAGGTGCCGAACCTGTACAATAATAAATACCTACTCGAAAAAAATACAGATTTTGTATATAGCGGTGAGTAGGGTCGAATCCACAGGGATTGGGGATAATTTGTTTCTTCTAGAGTCCAAAGTATGGGGGGTTTTGGATTAAATGCTAACTAAATAAATTAACTGCAGAAAATAATTAATTAAAAGAAATGATTGGGGAAACTCTAGCCAAGGGTACACATCAGAAATGGTTCATGCACTGATCATTGATGCAGAAATAATTCCAACATTCAGCAATAGATTAGTTATAGTTGTCATGCACGCGATAAACAACCAACCCTTCCTTAATTTCTCGATAGCTAAGGTACGACCGTTAGCTATTTCTCTAACCCAAAAATAACCCTAGGTACGACCGTAGGATTTAATTTCTAAATTGCATTAATAATTAGAAAGGCTCAATCCTAACCAACAAACACGCTACGAGGGTTTGTTTAAATTAGATCATATGCTCCCCTGACATAAACCCAATTACGCCAGTTGCTACTGAGGTAGAGATAACGAACAATTACGGATTCAATTACCCCTATTTAGCAAAAATAGCCTATATGAATAATTAATTATTGCGCACTAATCAATCATACACAAGGCCATAGCAGTTAAAATCAAGGAACATATAAATACCAATAAATGAAGAAAATAATTAAAACAGATTCGATCTCACAGTAATTGTCGAACCAAATCGTCAGTTGTCCCCTTGACTAGAAAAGCTTAACCACGCCTCATGAGAAAATCTCCCCATTGGGGAATATTGTCGAATACCTGGCGTGTGTCAGAGGCCAGTCCAAAGAAAGAAAACTAGAACTAAACTAAAAAACTAAAACTAAAGCCCTAGATATCTCTTTGCTTCTGTACGTTGTCCCCTTTTAAAGCAACAAAAGAGAGATGAGTAAAAGCTATCTAGGTGGTCCCCACACATGTGGACAAAGCCTCCCAAGTACTTCTTGTTCCAAGTCTCTCTACGTTGCTTTCTCTGATGCCCAAATGACCAAATGCCTTTCACTAGCTTGTGGTCCCCCACCAATTCAAGGGCCCAAGGATTGAAACCCTTAGAAGTCTCCATATTTTTCACAAAGTCCCTCCTTTTTGGTAGTTTTCTGCTTCATTCCTGAAATTGATTCCAAATACCAAATATGAGTAAATATCAGCAATTAACACAATATTTGTCAGGAATAGAAGGGAAAATTAATAATAAAAATACTAACAAATTATACCCTATCAATTCCCCCCACACCTGAACCATGCTTGTCCTCAAGTATGAGAACAACAAACAAACACCAATATTTGATAGTGGCTATTGCTCTATCCAACAAATTGCCAAGATACCAAGACAAGCATATATCAAGCATGGGTGATTAAGATCCAAGAAACATCACTTCGGTTAGTTTCTAAACCACAAACTCCTCTAATTTCATGTTAACTAATCTAAGAAGAAGGAATGACGCATAATATTTATCAGCAAATGGTCCAACTATTAACCAAAATCTCAACATTAAATCCATAAATCGGCAAGCTGACTTTTATTATACACTAACACAAACTTCACTTTTTTTTTCACATTCTTTTTTTTTTTTTTTTTACTTTTCTCTCTTTTTTTTTTTGATTCTTTTTTTTTTTCAATAATAACAAAAGACTTAGTCGCTAGCCATTTGAGCCTTTTGACGCGAACTCCAACATTGGCCAGATGAAGGAGCCCGGTTACTCAACTTCTATCGCCACGTGATCACGTACTCATAGCAATTACTACTTTTTGACGCGAGAATCGACACTTTTGGTGAAGATCCCCGGTTACTCGGTAGTAAATACTAGCGGAGTACAGTCAACTCTCATTCACAGCTAATAACACAAAAACTCAATATAACTCAAAAACTAAAAGAAAATTTGCATCAGCTAGCCTCATTTTCAAACATGGAGAACTAAAGTTAATAACCGGACCAATTCACATGAAAATGCCAATAATCATTCCCTATACTTAGGAAAGTTAACCAAAAATTATAAGAGTAAAACAATCATCGATATTCACCAAATAGATATTTTGGATTCAACCACATGAACTTGATATCCTTTTATTATTAAAACTTGGCAAAAGTAGGAATAGAGGCAATAATCCAACATCAAACTTGGCATCCCATACGAGCTAATCACTAAAAAAAAAAGAAAAAGAAAAAGAACGAAAGACACTAGCACCATAACTGCTCCCCCCACACCTAAATCCTACATTGTCCTCAATGGAGGTAATAAAGTAATGAAAGCGAAGAGAACAATGAAACTTCCCTGTTGAACAGCTAAGGGATAGGAGGGAATAGTGGAGGGAAGCCGAGTTCTGAGACATCCTTGCCATTTGGTGGGTGATGTTCGTCATTCGCTCATCTACGTTGTGAACCTGTGCCTCTACCTTGACGCCTACATGGAGCGAAGGTGCGGCAAGGGACTTGGCAGCTTACGACGCACAGGTGGGCAGAGGCGGCGCTTGGAGATCCGCGGCTACGTGAGTGGTTTGCTGAGAGAGAGGGCGGCGTCCGTGTGTGGCGGTAAGTGGATTCGGCTGTGGCGCGCGCAGGGAGCAGGGGAGCAGCGGTCGCGCGAGGAAGAGCTGGAATGGGAGGCGGCGTGCGCAGAGGGAAGCAGAGGAGAAGAAAGAAAGAAAAGAGAAAGAAAGAAGAAGAAAGAAAGAAAGAAAAGAAAGAAAAGAAAAAGAAAAAGAGAGAAATTGCTGTTTTTTTTTTTTTTTTGGCAAAAATGTTTCTTTTCTTTTCTTCCAATTATGAGGCTCTTTGAGCCACGGAAATAATTTCCCTTCTTTTTTTTTTTTTTTCGAAAAATTGATTTCGACTTTTTAAATAAATTTTTTTCTTTTTTTTTTTTTTTTTTTTTTTTTTTTGAATTTTTTATTTTGAACTTTGGAAACTAAAGCTACGGTGATAAGAAATGTTTATTCTATTTTTTTTCTTTTTTTTTTTTGAATCTTTACCTTTCCCGCGAACGTGACGCGGGCACATCATGAGGGTAAGAGAGCTCCCAGAAGTTTATGATGTTTCTGATCGTGAGCTTCCTGCACATCACCACGCGGGCACGTCATGAGGGCAAGAGAGCTCCCAGAAGTTTCTGATCGTGAGCTTCCTGCACATCACCACGCGGGCGTGTCATGACTGAAGGGCACCTATAAATCAGCAAAAACGAAAATTGAAATCCAAAATCAGTCGAATTCAAGGAGAATACATCTAAACTACCACACGAAAATGAACAAACAATTAAAAGGAACAATTGGGTTGCCTCCCAAGGAGCGCCTTTCTTTAATGTCTTTGGCTAGACATTATCATGTTTTGCTCATGGAGGATAAAATCTTGTGGCTCGTCTTACTGCTTCATCCTCTATATAGTCCTGATAACCCTCGTAAATAGAATAATCCTTGAGCATACGAGCTACGGGCTTCCATGGACTAGTGAATGGCGCCAAACGAGTCGATGATAATTTACATTCTCCATTCACTCCTCCCTCACTTGCATTCATTGGTTCAAGATATTTTGCCATCTCCACTCTCAACTTATTCCTGTCATGAAATTTTAAATTTTCTGGTATAATAAAATCAATTTCAGTAACAGGAGTTGAAGAATAGGAGTCAGGAAAATATTGATTAAGGAGTGGAGAAGATGTCACCGCATTTGGAGATTGTTCACTGGATTCATTCACTTGAACGAGTTGATCTTGGAGTCTCATTTCTTGCACTTCTGCTTCCTTTTCAACTGCATCTTTAAATCCGTTTTCTTGAAACTCTTGCAGTTCCATGTCATTTGGCCGGATAATTGCACTCTCATCTTCCTCAAGATTAATATTGGTTTGTGCGGGCAATTCTTCCATTTGAGGAGCCAATCGATTTATTCTGGATGTCAATAGACATAGTTAATCTGCCAGGTCGCGAAGGCTCGCTTGTGTCTCCTGATGAGATCGATCTAGGCTCGCTTGTGTCTCCTGATGATATCGATTTGTATTAGCAATTAGTAATTCCATCATTTCTTCAAGAGACATACCTGACACGGAGGATGATTGCTGAGACTCTTGCTGTTGAAAATCCATTGGCCCGGTTGCATAATCAAAATTGGAATTATCCCACCATTCTTGATCATACCCGTTTGAATAAGGGTCATACTGCGTTTGATATTGGGGTGGAAAATCTCCAAAAGTATCAAGTGGAGAACTTAGATTATCTTGAAATACGGGGCATGTGTCAGTTGAATAACCTGAGTCAAAATAAGTCCCACAATTTGCAACAGCCCATTGATCATTAGGAAAAACATGAGTCTCATAACCCCATTCTGGAACAAAGTCCAGTCTATCATCAAAATATGGAATGTTAGCAGCCATAAAAAAAAATGAAAACAAAATAAACTCAAAAAGAAACAAATTAATCTGGCACCAGTCCCCGGCAACGGCGCCAAAAATTGACAGGTGCCGAACCTGTACAATAATAAATACCTACTCGAAAAAAATACAGATTTTGTATATAGCGGTGAGTAGGTTCGAATCCACAGGGACTGGGGATAATTTGTTTCTTCTAGAGTCCAAAGTATGGGGGGTTTTGGATTAAATGCTAACTAAATAAATTAACTGCAGAAAATAATTAATTAAAAGAAATGATTGGGGAAACTCTAGCCAAGGGTACACATCAGAAATGGTTCATGCACTGATCATTGATGCAGAAATAATTCCAACATTCAGCAATAGATTAGTTATAGTTGTCATGCACGCGATAAACAACCAACCCTTTCTTAATTTCTCGATAGCTAAGGTACGACCGTTAGCTATTTCTCTAACCCAAAAATAACCCTAGGTACGACCGTAGGATTTAATTTCTAAATTGCATTAATAATTAGAAAGGCCCAATCCTAACCAACAAACACGCTACGAGGGTTTGTTTAAATTAGATCATATGCTCCCCTGACATAAACCCAATTACGCCAGTTGCTACTGAGGTAGAGATAACGAACAA